TTTTGAGGATTTACTTACCTGGATGATTGAGCATGCATGAAGAAATTACTATCAAACTATTTCTGTTAGTTAGCATTATTACTGTCAGTTGCTACAGTTTTGAGGTTCCATCTAAATAAATTACGATTTTTGTCTTTTTAACACTTTAAGCAGTGTGGTCCCACGAATACCACATTTTCTACTGTGGTACAGAAGGTAGAGCAAATCGGGAGGTCGGTAGCTCAACTCCGTGCTGCTTCATTCTGCATGTTGACGTATCCTCAGACAAGATACTGAACCCCAAGTTTCCCCCAATACATCCATGAGAATGTGTGCCCGAATGTTAGACAAGGCATTTAGGCATAGAAAAGAAACTGTCATCAATGTTTGTAACTGGGTAAATGATGCTTGTAATAGAAAATACTTAAAGTGTTCACAATGAGTAAGTAGTAAATCACTTTGTATTACAAGTCCATTTACCAAAATTTGAAACATGCAAATCATGGAGAAACCCTGCCAACACGTTGAGTCATTAACTTACATGAGGCATGGCTCTATCAAAGCAATAAAGGTTTATAGTATTATTGATACAAAATTGTTACGAAACAAAAATGACAGCAATCGAGTAACAACGTTACGAAGATGATCCAACTTATTGGGGCATTAATAATGTCTTGTTTTTGTTAGTTATGTGGTTTAGGTACAGTAGGTGATCATGTTGCTTTCGCAGAATGAATTGAGTCAATGTGTCACCGAATCAACAAAATCCTGTTCAAATTTTATTTAGAAAAATCACAGTTTGACTATAAAGGTTATTTAAGTTGCTTATAAGAGAAATTCAAAGGGCCATGAATCATTTAAACGAAGAAAGTCTTGTGTACATTAGTACCTAACAGCATCATTAAAATCCAGTTATGATGGTTCATGGGAAAGTGACTGCTCACATTTTGCTAATTAAATGTAATATCACTCTTGTAAAAGATAAACTGAACGATTTCCATTTCCACCCATTACTGTGTTATGCTACAGACCACAGATCCATTTTGCACTCATTTGAAGTCTCTCTTCTCTTTTCGCATAATGACTGTTTTGTTTTGTATTGTTTTTTTTTCCCGGAAAGGCCTTGGAGTTCTCTTCAGAGAAAAATAAATAAAAATCCTCTGACCTTTCGAATCTATCAGGTTACTGGAAGATGTACAAACAGCACACTTTTGCAGGGGCGGGGTAGTTAACCCAACTTTAAGCCTGGAGCTGTTTTGGACATGTACATTTCCCCGGCCTCAGTCACATGATAAATGGACTGGTTCTTACATAGCACTTTCCTACTTGAGCACTCAAAGCATTTTAAACAGCACGCCTCAATCACCCTTATTAATACAAGCACTTTGTTTTTACACACATTCACACTCCAAGGATTGCATCGGAAATGCAACATAAAGTTCAGTATCCTACCCGAGTATACTTTGGATGTATCGAACCATGCAGATGACCTGCTCTACCTCCTGAGCTGTCGCCGCCACAGATTCACAGGATTTCCTTGTGTCTCTTCAAGAAAGATCTCCAAGATGCTGAGTCTGAATGTCCCTGCTGACCTGCCTTCACATGTAACCTTAATTGAAAGTGACTTTGAGGCTGCGTACTTATGTATTCCCATGCATGCAAGCAGTCAGGGGCATCTATCTTGTCAAGAATTTCTGGCGGCATTATGTGAGAGCAGGGTCACATAAATGAGCAAGGCTACATTGTTTCCCATAATGTGAGAGCCTGCAGTGTAGAACATAGAAAGGGATGCATTATTCACACAGAAGCAATGCGTGAAAAAACCACCAAAGAGAGTAAGAGATACTAATGAGGCCATTTCCTCAACTCTGCAACTCACTTGCCTCATTGATATACACGTTGACTGCGACATCGATCTTTTGCAAGGTGCTTCAGGGTTAAAACCTCTTTTCATGTGTATATACAAGCACGAGTTAGAAGTGTGTGTGCAGGCGGGGGTGCTTATGAGTCCAAGTGACTGAGAGAGTAGTGCTCCAGCGCACATTTATCTTCTTATGTAACAACTAGACAAGCAGATGCAGGCTAAATGCTGCCTCTACCCACCAAAAACATGAGCAGCACAATTCTGCTCACTTCAGACAGAATTCAGCAGGTTCCCTTACAACACAAGCCCCAAACACGGATCAATTTGTTGGGGCCGTGCCTCCACATTCCCATTAACCTGGGGTCGGGCTGAAAATGGCCATGTTAAAATGGTCTCTCTCATCATTCTCTTCGTCATTAGCTGCCCTAAATGACAGCTAGAGAATGACCACAAAGGCTTTCACCCCCACTCCCCCACCATGAGCTGCCAATCATGCGGCTCCTTTGAGTATTCCTGACTGCCTGCACAGATTTCGCTTGTCTGCGCCCTGTGCCAAGCCTGATGGTAAATCTGAAAGGATTATACAGAAGGCGAGCAATAGCTGTGTGGCATTTAGGAAAGAAAAGACAGAGACAATGTGTCGTGCTATCAGCGAAGCTGGTGTGCTATCTCCAGGAAAAAGCAGAGCAGAGGTCCTAAACAGGGGTGCACCTAAAGCAGGGAGTCTGGGGTGTCACAGCCCCATCCTTGAGGGGGGGGGGGGGGGGTTGCCCTTTCAAAAATGATATGTTATGTTAAAAGTACCATAAGTCCAAATTATGTTGGAAAAAAAAGGTTCCACTGTCTTCCTTTAATGCATCACTGTAAATAATATTATTTAATGTTAATTAATGTAACATTTGGGGTTAGTCACGATTTTCTAATACTCAAACAGTCATTAAGATGACTGTCCTTTGTCTTGTCAACATATCTTCCTTGATTTTACTGCTGGGTGGTTGAATGCAGTGTACTACTAATGCCAAACAAGTGTGGTAATGTAATATGCAGTTTAGGGCGATCGTGGCTCAAGAGTTGGGAGTTTGTCTTGTAATCGGAAGGTTGCCGGTTTGAGCCCCGGCTTGGACAGTCTTGGTCGTTGTGTCCTTGGGCAAGACACTTCACCCGTTACCTATTGGTGGTGGTCAGAGGGCCCGGTGGCATCAGTGTCCGGCAGCCTCGCCTCTGTCAGTGCGCCCCAGGGCAGCTGTGGCTACAATGTAACTTGCCATCGCCAGTGTGTGAATGGGTGGATGACTGAATGTGTAAAGCGCTTTGGGGTCCTTAGTAAAGCTATACAAATACAGACCATTTACCATTAAAGCTAAACAAAACAACAAAAATAATAAAAATGACCCACTAACTACCAGCTATTCCACTGGCAAAGTGTCTGTCACAGTCATAGTTGGTGCTGCTGTACAAACAGGTAATAGCAAACACAATCAGAGACAACGACAGCCAGCAAAACATATTTTTTGGAACGCGTTCAGAACTTAGAGGAAGTCCAGTTTATCGTTATGTTGCACCATTAAGCTAGCACATTACACATCAGCCAGAACAGTCATTCCTGAGTTGTTTAGAGCAGCGGTCCCCAACCCCCGGGCCACAGACCGGTACTGGTCCGTAAGTTGTTGAGAGTTGAGGCTCACGTGTGAAAGTCATGGTTTTCAGGGTTTTTATCAGTTTTTAGCGTTATTTTATTTTTTTTAATCATTTTTATCATTAACTCAGTTTCCCTGGGTCTCTTCCCGTGTGTTATGAATAAATCTTCTTTTTTTGGTACTGGTACTGGTTTTATTTTGTTGTATTTATACAGACACCTTAAAGGCCGGTCTGTGAAAATATTGTTGGACATAAACCAGTGCATGGAACAAAAAAGGTTGGGGACCATTGGCTTAGAGCGTGAGTGGAAGAACAGTTCCCAGTGAATATTGAATATATATTTTACTTGACATGCCCATCTCTAACAATGTGTGTGCTAATTCGAGATGCAAACCATTACAATATTCCCTCAACATGTGCCTCACACTGGTTTGATTCACTCCTTCACATTGCAAAAGTGTGCTTAAATCAAAATGACTTTCTTCTTTAATTCTACCAACATATTTACTGCTTTTTGTTAGCCCCTGAGTTGGATGTTGTGCTTTAATGTCCCTGGCATATTGTTACAGGGCATACATGCTTCATAATACATATTTATGCAGGCAGGTCTCTTCACAATGACAACTTGCCAACTTGTCAATTTTCTAGTAGTTTATATTTATATTTGATAAAGTTTGTGTTTCCCACTCATTGTTTCTTGGTTCCCTCTTGTGCACACCCCACCCAGTTCTCAGTCCAGTATTGATATGTAATAATCACAGTGGATGCCCAGGAAAAGTGTTAACAACCGTGAACAGTGAACTAACCTCACTCACAGAGAAAAAAAGACATCACAACCTGAAATGTTGGGCTAGTCTTTGTTGGTACTATCTTATTTGATAAGCAGGCATACACAGCTGGTACAAAAGAAACAAAGATGTTAGTTTAAAATTTCTATAAACTCCACATTAGGCAAAAATGCATCATGCAATTAAAGAGCGTGATTAACGTAGGCTCCTCTGAACGGAAATGCTTTGCACTCAGTGGTTAACTAGTAACGCATTTACTATCAGGCTAGAAATAAGCCAGCAGGCAAAGATGTTGCCTCTTCTTCCGGAGGCTTCAGTGCAGCCCAAACCTGAGACCTGAGAGCAGGGAGGGAAGTTCCAGAGAAGTGCCACGCGCCTCCATCCTTTTGCCCCGCGTGAAGATCATTCATAAAAATGGCAGACCTACACTGCTTTCATCCTATTGGCTGTACAAAAACAGCCTTATTTTTTTCTCCTCCTTTTGTTTTAAAGAAATGTCCGGAGAACGACACAAACAGTCAAAAACACACACATACTACAGGCGGGAATATCTTCAGCTCGACTGGTCTGTTCACGCGGTTTATCAGCACCGCGCAGCCGGAAGACGAACAGTTTCCGCGAGTAAACAAAAGCGTCTGCGCCGCTTTCCAGAAACTGAATATTAGCCCTAGAATACATTAGGCATAAAAGCAAGCTAAACTGAAGCAATAACGTCGACCCGCTCCTCTTACCCGAATAGGCGAGGCAGTGTCGGTGCCGGTGAGGAGGGTATCCCTGCTGCAGGACAGAGAGAGATGCTCGTCTCGGCTCGCTCTTGTGCGACTTTCTCCGGAGCTCCTGGCTGAACAGCGTCGCTGGACCGGTCGCGTGCTCTTACTGCCGCTTGTCAGTGCACGCTCACACACATCCACACACGCGCAGGCTGAGTGACTGACTTAGTGGCCCCTGGCTACAGCAGCCGAACCCTTCAAACCATGATACCGTGCAGGCGACAGGCATCAGTGATGGTGCTGCTGCTGTGGTGGCAGCTTTCTCTCCTCCAGGAGCCTGGGCTGGACAGGACGGCAGGGGAGGGCAATGTGTTTAAGTGGTATGCGCCGGCGGAGTGGATTTAAACGGGGGGATGGTGTAGCTGGGATTACGTGGTAGGGGTTTAATTAGATAGCCCTGCGCCCATTGGCACCAACGCTGCGCACAACCCTCCCCCCCCCCCCCCTCTCTCTCTCTCTCTCTCTCTCCCCCTCTCCCCTCTCTCTCCCGTCTCTCGCTCTCTTTGTCTTTGGCAGTAAAATAGCTGGATGTGTGGATCTCATCACCGGCTGATGCCGCACCACGCTGTGTGCTTAATAATATTTCATGCACAACATTTTTATTCCAAGTGACTTGCGATGAGGACTGCACAGGGGTCAGGAGCGTTCAGCCGTTTGTACATTGGGGTGGCCGCATCTCTCAGGGGGGAAAAAATGCATATGGAGAGGAGTGATTGTGTAAGTGTTGTTTCTGCATTTTCAGAATAATGTTGGTCCAAAATCATCATTGCAACTGACCAATCATGATGTTGTGGTGTTATGGCTTTGCAATGTGGGGTGAAAAATACAAAAATGTATTTCTTTATAAATACCACTGTTCTGTGGGGTGGGGGGATAAGCGTTTCAATTGTCCTTTATTAATTTATACAGTATAATGAATATGGCCTCAAGTTAGCTTTGCTGTTATTCAATTCCCACATAGCAAAATTGATATGGCCTGGATCTGGCCCACACAACGTGCATACACATGGCCCACATACCACAAAGAATGACGGCCCTTTGGTGGCCCAGATCTGGTTTACCAGAGGTGGCCAACACATGGGCCAGCAAAAGGCCAGTTGCAGACAAACTGCTGGTCCTGTGCTGGCTCAGATAAGTTTTAGCTCTGGCCCCAGATGTCAGCCTAATGTGTACCTTAATCAAGCCATGTAATAACAACATGTGCTGGAACATAATAGCGCAAAAGTGACATGAGGAAACTCTGTTCAGACAGTGAGTGGACTGATTCTTATATAGCGCTTTTCTACGCTCCCGGATTACTCAAAGTGCTCTATACAACACGCCACATTCACCCAATCACACACTTTCTCTAAACTGAGTGCTTACTACTACCCACTAACCTTCCGATCAGTAGGTGACCTGCTCTACCTCCCGAGCTACAGCCACCCAGTGGTAAACATGAGTAAACCCTCACTAGGTTTTGGATAAAGTGTACACTCACAAACCTTTCAAACCTGCATTTAAAACATTGGCTACCATAGCAGTATAGTATTGCAACATGCCATTTGGGTCTTCTAAATAAAACAGGAAAAGGAACATAAATAGTGTCATCATTGCCAGACCTGGCCCACATCTGGTTGACAGACACCCTGCCATGACACCAGTCAGTCAGAAGTGGCAGCTGATGCCGGATCTGGGTCAGTCCTGTTTGCTATGTGGGTTTAAGTAATTCATGTTGGTTTGCTGGTGTTAGTTTTTAAAGGCATTAGCTAACTATTATGATGATGTAGGAACAACACTAATACAGTAAATTTCAGATCATACAAGAAGAGGTGACTATCTCATAATAATATGGCAGCTGTAATGAAAACACAAGATTTGACCGTAAATTGATAAAGTTAACAAAACCTAGTTTTTACTATGATAAACATTTTTATTATTTCAAATAATAGAATTAGCTCTGGGACATATACTCCACTTGCACTCTGAGTTTAAAAAATGGCTTTAATTTCAGTCTGTGATGCAAAAGACGGTGTGAGATTGAACAGAATTGAATGACACAAAAATTGTGAATTTTATTTTAGTTTTCAAAAATACAGTATCATTAAAAAGTGTCCAAGTGGATATAAAAAAAAATACTTACCATAGTTTTAATACCGGTAAACTGATTTTGCCCAAGTGCTAGTTCCTGCTGATCAATATTTACAACATGACACACTTCATTTAAAAGCTACAAATAGAAGTTAAAAGGTATACCACAACTGGAACTTCTGTGTGTGTAGAAGTAGCAACTGCTCCCAATAGAAGGCTGCTGCTACAAACTCTTGAGGACGGAAGAGAGGCCCAACAGTGTGTGTATACAGCATCAGTATACAGCAATTTCCCTAATAAGATGGAGCGGCCGAAGAGTGAACTGTCAAAAGTACTGAATATGACGTCACTTATTTATGTGAATGTTTAATAATTACAGTCATCCACAAACACAACAAGCTGAAAGTCAGTGAT